TATGAGGGGATTCACTTAACACTACACCGTGGGTATGTAAATTCAACTAATCACTACTCCGACGATTACGACAGTACGTTTTCATGACGATCACTTAGTAGTTATATCCTCAAACCCTGCCATATTTTTAGGGGTAGTGATTAGTGAAATCACATCATTTTAAGGTAGCAAATAATGAATTTTGAGGGGCGGGTTGAATAAGATTGTGATAGAGTTCATATACAAGTTTTTCACATGCGAATTAATTTCCTTCTTTATTCGGTAGTCCTAACGTACATTGTAAATACTTTCCGGCAAAGGGTACGCACTGATGAGAGCGGTCACTTTGTGATTTGCCAAGTATTTGCGGATTTCTGACGATGTACAAGTCTTGGTAGTGTGATACTTCGCAGAACATATTTTGCATATTTGTGGACTTTGCACTTGTATTCACGTCGATTTCTGGCACGTTGACCCTTTTTACGCCCTCGATGACCAGGATTATTTGGAGGATATACCTGACATAATTTGCTCTCGATATCGAGCTCATTTGGAATTTGAAGAGTCTCCGAATACTGCTTTACGTATGTTTTGACATGAAATACAGAACTGTACCTGAATATTTAAAACAATGGTGGAAATATAGTAAATATAGTGGAATTTCGTTCAAATTCAAAAAAAGGTGAAACAAGTTCTCATCTTGTAGTTTGTACTTTTCTTTGAATTTATCATACCCCCGGGAGTTGTCCAATGCTAATGTCATCAGAGTTCTGCCTCCGTGTACACATAGCATTCCCAACGCTTCTCGACGCAAGCATGCGCAAACCGATACACCTAGAGTGTGTGAAATAAAACGTCTATTAATGTCAATTCTGCCTACAGTGGTTTTAGGGGGCTGGCTATTAAAATGCTTGGCAACGCTAAACAAAACAAAATCATTAGACCTACCATTAGACTTCAACGTTACTAAATACCGACCACGTACGGATTTGTCTTTCAAGTCTTGAACAGTAGCCATGACACAGTCCTTTGAAACTGTAGTAATTTCATGTAGAATAGTCATCAGTGGTAATTCGAGAGTTCGGAACAGATATTGTTAATGCGAGAACTATCCTAGTAAGAGAAAACACGTTACTTTTAGTCAGCAGTACTTCCGCGTCCATAACCAGCCGTGCCGGCGATCCCCACGCCAACACCTGTTCTTCTAAGAAGCGGAACACCCCTGGCCCAACCGTAGATGCAGGACACACTCGTGCAAGCAACATCCTAGTCGGTGTGTCCACTGCCAGCAAGACCTTGGACTGCCCGTTAACAGTGTCAAAGTCCATAAAATTCATGCTTCTCTCGTGCATGGTCTCTTCTGGGCGCACTGGCTGCTGCAGCAACCCTTTTGCCAAGCCTGGTTCGTCAGCAACCGCCTGATACGCAGTGCAGCTCTTACTTTTATGCCGCCCCAACCCCATAGCCTGCGTACCAGATCATCCGGTCTCTTGGCACTGGCATGTGTAAACAGCACATGCGCGTATTAATTGATACGCTCGAGGATATCACCCCCCACTTCCACACCAAACACAGAACGCTTCAAGCGTCGCAACCGTTGTCGCAACAGCTTGTCACCCAGCTCGTTCACTGGAGGCTCTTCCGTATCATCCAGTGACCTGGACAAACTCCTCTGTGGTGAGTGATTCCTCATACGCTCGCGTATGGTCGTCCATTGATGCGTCACTCCGTCCATCGCTTCCAAGACCGGATGAGTATCCACAGCCACCGCTGCCTTGCGCTCACGTCGCGTAAGCAACGGCGACTTAGCACTCATACTCCGAGTGTACGTAGCACCGAGCGACCGCCCACTCGTGCTCACCTCAGCGGTTCCCAGCCAAGTCTCTGCCATCGCACCCAGCGATCCCTCACTAGGGGTAGCAGACGCCCCTCCCAGCCATACTTCTGCATGTCTCAGGGACACACTCAGAACACCCTTAGCCGCCCGCCAAGGCTGAGTGATGAACGTCAATGCACTGACCGCACTGACAGGAATAGTTTCTAACCCAGCTTCCTCCGCTGGCATACCCCTACGCAGCACCGGCTTCCCACTCAGGTGCGCCTCCGCCCCTATGACACCACTCTGGGTTATACAAGCCGCCACAGCCAACTTCTCCCAAGCTGGCCGCTTAGCCTACAACTCCGTCCAGAAGTCATCTCGAAGCTTGTGGTCACGGTAAGGACTCATATGGCACACAAGAATAATGAATCCTGGCGCCTCCATTGGCTCATTCCCATGCTTGAGAAATATCCCCTTCTTTGGGTAAATAACCATAGGGTCTGCTGACAGCAGAGGAACTGTTTCCTTGAACTGTAAACTTCG